TGGACATCATCGCTCCTGTGAAGGTTAAAATGATTACAAATAAGCCAAAGGCCCCCTGGACTAAAATGGACTCAGTCATGGTACAGAAGAGAGAGTGCCGTAGGGCCGAGCGGAAGTGGCGAAAATCCAATCTCCAGGTTGATCATGATATCTTCAAAAATGAGTTGTGCAAGTTTAACAGGGTGCTACGTAGAACAAGAGAAATTTATTTTTCTAAAACCATTGATGGCTGCAATAATAATCTACGACTTATGTTTTCAACAGTTAACGGATTAACAAACCCCCCTGTTCAGCTGCCATTCGAATTTGCTTCAGAATCTAAATGTAATGAGTTTGCACAATTTTTCAATGACAAGGTTCAGAGCATCAAAAACGCCATCACCTCCAAGGCAGAAATAACATTACAACAGCCGGTGAGGCTGTTTGAGCTATCGCACTTTGCACCAACAGATAATGAAACTGTCCAAGATGTTGTCTCTAGCCTTAGTTCCTCCACATGTAGCCTGGATGTACTACCCACTAAATTTTTTAAGTCTGTTTTGAGCAGTCTTTTACCTTTGCTCACATAAATAGTGAACATGTCTTTCTCATCTGGAACATTTCCAATGGCCCTGAAAACGGCAGTCATCAGACCCCTCCTAAAAAAGAGGAGTCTAGATGCCACAGTTCTTAAGAATTATCGCCCCATTTCAAATCTGCCGTTTATGGGAAAAATTCTGGAAAAAGTTGCTTACCAACAACTTACAGAATTCTTAGTAACTAATAGTTCGTTTGATGCGCTCCAGTCCGGCTTTAGAGCCAATCACAGCACTGAGACTGCACTAGTGAAGGTTACAAATGACATCCGACTTAACACCGACACAGGAAAAGTCACAGTTTTAGTAATGTTGGATCTGAGTGCTGCGTTCGACACAGTCGACCACGAGATCCTCCTGCAGAGACTAGAGCACTGGGTGGGTGTCACTGGGACTGCCCTAAGTTGGTTTAGGTCTTACCTAGAAGACAGGAAATACTTGGTTCAGATAGGAAACTGTGTCTCAGATCATATGGCTCTGACCTGCGGAGTGCCACAGGGATCAATTCTGGGGCCTCTTCTGTTCAATATTTACATGCTGCCGTTAGGTCAGTTAATACGCTCCAACAATGTATCCTACCACAATTACGCTGATGACACTCAAATTTATGTCTCACTTACTGCAGGAGAACATGGACCAGTGGAATCACTCCTTCACTGTACTCAACAGATTAGTGATTGGATGCAAAATAACTTCCTTCAGCTAAACGCAGACAAAACAGAATTGATTGTCTTTGGTCCTCAGAAACAAAGAGAGAGCGTTATTCGTCACCTCCAGTCTCTCTCCCTGGAACCTGTAGGCAAGGTCAGAAACCTAGGAGTTATAATGGACTCAGACTTAAATTTTAACAGTCATATCAAATCAGTAACATCAGCAGCATTTTACCATCTGAAAAACATTGCCAAAATTAGAAACATAGTGTCTAAATCAGATCTGGAGATTCTCATCCATGCATTTGTCTCCAGTAGGTTAGACTACTGCAATGGCCTGCTCACAGGTCTGTCCAAACAGGCTGTAAAACAACTGCAGTATGTCCAAAATGCTGCAGCTCGAGTCCTGACCAGGACCAGGAAATATGACCACATTAGTCCAGTTCTCAGGTCTCTGCACTGGCTTCCTGTGGCTCAGAGAATAGACTTCAAAGCAGCACTGCTTGTGTACAAGTCTCTCCATGGCCTCGCACCAGGGTACTTAAGCGACTTGTTAGTCCCATATGAACCGACCCGGACTCTGAGGAGCACAGGAGGTAGCCTCTTACTGGTTCCAAGAGTCAGAACTAAACATGGGGAGGCAGCGTTTGAGATTTATGGAGCTAAAATCTGGAACAATCTTCCTGAAGATGTGAGGCTAGCATCTACTCTGGCAATTTTTAAATCGGGGCTAAAAACTGTTCTTTTTAGCTGTGCATACGGCTGAAGGATTCTATTGATACATACTCTTTTTTTTTTTTAATGCATTGTGGTTATTTATTATTTTAATCCCGTGTGTGCTTTTAATATTTTAAGTTTTTTTTTTTTTTCCATTATTTGTGATTTTATTCTGTTTTTAATGTATTTATTGATGTCTCTGATTTGTGTGATACTATGTGGGTTGTGAGGCGCTTTGAGTGGCCTTGTGTTGGAAAGGCGCCATACAAATAAAGTTGATTGATTGATTGATTGATCTGGCTACAGTGGGTGTGAGAGGAATAGTCTTCATCGCCGATCTTATCATGCCTGCCGAGTGTTCCGGTAATTCCAGTAGTGAAGGCGGGGATAGAAAACAAAGGGAAAGGTCGTCCTCATTTTCCCTAGATGGAGTGGATGTAGCGGGGGGGACCCAAGCCGGGTCCATGGAAGGTGATGAGGGAGTCTTTGGTGGAGACAGAGGTGGTTGAGGAACCCCCAGTACAGGCCTGTCTGTAGCCTGGAGCAATGGGGGAAGCTTCACGGGAGCTGTAGGTGGGGAAGGTGCTGCTGAAGATGATGGAGCAGCCACTGCTGCTGCTGTATCCACTGCTGCTGCTGAAGATGATGGAGCAGCCACTGCTGCTGCTGAAGATGATGGAGCAGCCACTGCTGCTGCTGTATCCACTGCTGCTGGTGGTGCTGTATATGCTGATGGCGCTGATGAAGATGTGGCAGCTGCTGATGATGCTGGTGGTGGAGGTGTTGAGCTCTTTTGGAACCTTGGAGGTGTTGAGTTCTTCTTGAATCGTGGAGGTGTGGAGTTCTTTTGAGGCGGTGGGGGTGCAGAGACCTCGGGAGTCGGTGGAGATGGTCGTGATGTCTGTGCCCTTTGCTTCTTCTTTCTCCCTTTCAACGGCTGCACGCGCTGCGCAGGCTGAGGTCTTAGGGCAGATGCAAAGTTATCCATCAACACTTTTACTCCGTAGTTGTTCAGATGTGGACCTTTTTCTTCGAAAAGCTCGTGCCTATTCCAGAACAGATTAAAGTTTTCAATGAAGCCAAGTCCTCTGCGTGAACACTCATTGAGTAGGAATGTATTTAGCTGATACAGATGGCTAAACTTCTCCATTTTTCCATCTATATTTGGAAGTGGTCCACTAAGAAAAATGTTTATGTCCATTATCTTTAGGTCATCCAGTAACAGCGTTAAATCCATTCGTAACTTCTCGCTTGCCTTCTCATAGATATCTACCGCCCCCGTGTGGATCAATAATGTACGCACACCACTGTTCTCAGATAACACTTTAGGCAGAAGAGTCCTTATCTCAGCAACTTTTGCAGAGTGAACTGAGACAGTGAGCATGGACTTCATGTTTACATTTTTCACCGAACCATCTCCGATAAGGACACAGTTTGTCCTTGGTGGAGGCGCTGCAGTTTTTAGCGGCTTTGTTGTTTCAGAAAGGGGTAAAAAGCGGTTTGAAGTCTTCAGAACATTTAGTTGTGGCCTTATTTCCCTCCTATTGTCATTCTTAGCTTTGTCAACTTTGGCTTTAGCTCCACAATTGTTCCAATAATTCTCATTGTTGATTTTGGGAAAAGAAATGACGTCATAACTTACATTTCCAGTCCGTCCATTCATCCCATTTTCACTCATTGGAAGAGTCGGGTTAAGTCCCATTTCTGTTTCCACAATAGATATCCGTGTTTGAAGAGATTTGAGCTGATTTTCCAGAGCACAACAGCCGCCGCAGACGCTTCTCCGTCTCTTTCGTCCCGACATGACTAAAGTTGATAAATTCCACAAAGCTGAAGTGTGTAGAAGGAGTAATCCTCGTTTTGTAAATACAATGATTAAAGGAGAAACAAAAAATGTAAATAAAATGATTCAAGGAGATTAAAAGGCGAAGCAAAAGCAGAGCAGAGACACGACTGCTCTCTCGAGAAGCAGGAAGCATGAAGCATGAAGCATGCTACTACTACTGCTACTACTACTACTGCTGCTACTGCTGCTACTGCTGCTACTACTGCTACTACTGCTGCTGCTGCTGCTACTACTGCTACTGCTGCTACTACGGCTGCTGCTGCTGCTGCTGCTGCTGCTGCTGCTGCTACTGCTACTACTACTGCTGCTGCTGCTGCTGCTACTGCTACTACTGCTACTACTACTGCTGCTGCTGCTGCTACTGCTACTACTACTACTGCTGCTGCTGCTGCTACTGCTACTACTACTGCTGCTACTACTGCTACTACTACTGCTGCTACTACTACTACTACTGCTGCTGCTGCTACTGCTGCTACTACTGCTGCTGCAACTACTACTACTACTACTACTGCTGCTACTACTACTGCTACTGCTACTACTGCTGCTACTACTACTACAACTGCTTCTACTGCTACTACTGCTGCTGCTGCTACTACTGCTGCTGCTGCTACTACTGCTGCTGCTACTACTACTGCTGCTGCTACTACTGCTACTGCTACTACTACTGCTACTACTACTACTACTACTACTACTACTACTACTACTGCTGCTACTACTACTACAACTGCTTCTACTGCTCCTACTGCTGCTGCTACTACTGCTACTGCTACTACTACTGCTGCTGCTACTGCTGCTACTACTACTACTACTACTGCTACTGCTGCTACTGCTACTGCTACTGCTGCTACTGCTACTGCTACTACTACTACTACTGCTGCACTGCTTCTACTGCTGCTATTACCATACACACACACACACACACACACACAACAACAATTATGATGTATTATTTGTTTACATTTGGGCTTTAAAGCTGGGGGACCTAACTTTCAAAGCACATATAAATTTGAACAATGTCATAAGATCTTTGTCTATAAAACAGTCCCATCATGAGTAGCTTGCTAGACTACGCAACCAGATACTAAAGTGTAAAGGGAAAAGCAACCTGGCAGAGTAGAGTAGAGTAGAGTAGAGTAGAGTATAGTAGGGCCAGTGGAAACAGGGCTAAATATAAGTCAGGTACCTCAGCGTTAGCTCAGGGCTTGTACTCACGTGCGAATGTTTCTATCTGCTGCAGTTTGTCAGTGTTCACGTGTTTGAACAGAGGATCTCTGGCTCTGTCTGTGGCCGAGTTACTGCCATGTGCCACATTACCTGCCCGGCCCTAGAGGAGAGAGGGGAGAGAGGAGAGGGAAGAGGGGGGAGAGAGGAGAGAGGAGAGGGGACATGAGAGAGGGGAGAGGGGGAGAGAGGAGAGGGGAGATGAGAGAGGGGAGAGGGGGGAGAGAGGAGAGAGGAGAGGGGAGATGAGAGAGGGGAGGGGAGGAGAGAGATGAGAGATGAGAGAGGGGAGGGAGGAGAGGGAAGAGAGATGAGAGAGGGGAGGGAGGAGGGACGAGAAGAGAGAGGAGGGACGAGAAGAGAGAGGAGGGAGAGGGGAGGGACGAGAGGAGAGAGGGGGGAGAGGGGAGACGAGAGGAGAGAGGAGGGACGAGAGGAGAGAGGAGGGAGAGGGACGAGAGGAGAGAGGAGAGAGGGGAGACGAGAGGAGAGAGGAGAGAGGGGAGACGAGAGGAGAGAGGAGGGACGAGAGGAAAGAGGGGGGAGAGGGACGAGAGGAGAGAGGAGAGAGGGGAGACGAGAGGAGAGAGGAGGGAGAGGAGAGGGAGGAGAGGAGGGAGGAGGAGGAGAGGGAAGAGAGGAGGAGAGAGGGGAGATGAGGGAGGGAGGAGAGGGAAGAAAAAAATGAGCTTTTCTAAAATCAAAAATACATCACAATGTATTCTTGTATAGCCCTAGGTCACAACAGAAGTCATCTCAGAGACTTAACAAAACCATTGAAATCACCAACACAGGTCAGAGAATCAACAGTTAAAACACATGGAGAATATGGAACACATGTTGATAAATGTCATACATGTTGTAGAATGTTAAAGTGTCCTGATCGTCACAGTCCTTTCTGTTGGACACTAACTGTCCAACAGACTCCTGCATCGGCAAGGAACAACTCTTAAGAAAACCCAGTGGGAAAAAGTGAGAAACCTCGGGGAGACGCTTTTTTTACAATACAAACCTGCCCTAAAAAGCAGATCAAAGTTTTGTGAAAGTTATTCTAATGGTGAAATATGATTGTTTCTCCATGACTATGAGTCGCGTTTGTAGTTCTATTTCATCCCTTCAGACCGCCAGAGGGCGGTGCATAGCACTGAATGTTCCCTTCGCGCATGCGCAGTTCGAGTAATAATACCAAATGAGTCACACCTGTGACCCCCTGGGTGGCACACCGGAGGTAATAAAGTCCAGCGTCATCCAGCACTCTGTTCCTTTTTTTCTTCTCGCGTGCGGTTCGAATCGTTGCTGCTTGAACTTCATCAACGTCTGTCGCTGAGAGCCCTCTTCATCGGAGCTGCGGTTCGCCCTCCGTGGGGCGCGACGGTGACGTTGTCCTTCGGGTATTTATTGGTGTTTTCTGTACTGTATACGTGTGTATTGGTTGGTGTGAAGGCTGCTGTGGCGCCCGCTCCTCCGTCAGTACTTTCTTTTGGTACATGCATTTCGTGGTGTGAAGGCTGCGGTTCGTTGGCCTGCTCCTCCGCCTGTGCATGTTTGAGTTAGCTTTTGCTAACTGTGTATTGTGTGGTGTGAGGCTGCGGTTCGTTAGCCCGCTCCTCCATCGGTTCTTATTTGGGTTAGCCTTTTGCTACCCGTGTCCTCTGTGGTGTGAAGGCTGCGGTTCGTTGTCCCGCTCCTCCATCAGCTCTTGTTTGGGTTAGCATTGCTGCCTGTGTTTATTCTGTGGCCGGTGTATTGTGTGGTGTGACGGCTGCTGTTCGCGCGCCCTCTCCTCCATCACTACTTTCTTCGAGTGGCATTTTGCTGCGGGTGCATTGTGTGGTGTGAAGGCTGCTGTTCGCGCGCCCTCTCCTCCATCACTACTTTCTTCGAGTGGCATTTTGCTGCGGGTGCATTGTGTGGTGTGAAGGCTGCTGTTTGCGCGTCCGCTCCTCCACCGTGCTGTATTTGGCTTTTCTGTTGTGATACTGCAGTACATTGATTCGGTTCTGCAGTTTGAATACCGTTTGGGATTAATTACATATTGAATTGATGACACGGACAGTGAAAAAAAAATAAGTATATAAATAAATAAAAAACTTTAATAATAATAAAAAAAAAAAAAACAAACAACAACCTTGTTGTTATGGACGGGTCACATGCGTGTGTGGGTAAATCAACATCAACATCAGCACTCGATGTTGATGACGGCCATGACCTGTGTCCGGCGTGCCTCGGCCCCACTCACTTGAGGGAGGCAGTGTCCGATAACCCGTGCATGAATTGCAGCTGCTTGCCCTGGGCTGTTAGGGTGGCGAGGCTGGTTCAGCAGCCTTCGTCTGGCGACGGTGGTAGTTTGCCAGTGGGACCTGCTGTGGCTCCGCCCCCTCGGCGTTCTAAGCGCCGTGCTGAGGCCTGTGCTTCAGGGGAACGGTCTGATGGCCATGGTCCTTCCAAGCAGGCCAAGCCGGATGCTGTCCTGGTGTCGAGGGTGGAGGAGTTATCTGCAGAGTTGGAGGCGATGAAATCTGCATTCCAGGCACGTTGTGCTGCTGATACCGTCTCTGGGGCTGGTTCTTGCTCCATGCCATCCCTCCATCCGGAAGAGGATGTGCTTTCTCTGGTGGCGTCTGCTTCGTGCTTCCGGGACGAGGATGACGCGCGGTCCCTTTCGGGGGACGATGCTTATTCTTCCGCACATAGTGTGTCCAGCCGGTCTGGTGACGGCTCAATGCAGGAGGTTCTTCGCAGGGCCTTATCCCGTCTGCAGGTGGAACTTCCCCAGTCGGGACAGGCTGACCCTGGCAGTGCTTTTTTCAGGCGTGGTGGTTCGTCTCCTGCTTTTGTTGTGCCCCCGTCCGCGGAGTATCTGAAGGAGCTACACGCGTGCTGGAGGGACCCCAGCCGTCTCTCTAAGCTTTCGGCTGAGGGTCGGGCTTTGGCCGCGATGCACGATGCCTCTTCGGCTGGCCTGGATTGCATGCCGGCTGTTGAGCCGGCGGTTGCCTCCCTCATTGTTTCCCCGGAGGAGTCCTTGCGGGAGAATGTGAGGTGCCCTCGGAGCCAGTGTCGTGCGACGGATCACTTGCTAACAAAGGCCTACAATTCTGGTGCTCGAGCTGGCCGTATTGGTAACTCCTTAGCGCATCTGCTGCTCGCCCTGTCTGCCTCCCTCCAAGAGGGTAGTGCTGTGGGCACTGATGTTACTGCGTTTAGCGACGCAGCTCTGCATGCATTTGCCTTGATGACCAGGGAACTCGGACGGGTCATGTCGGTCCTTGTACAGGCTCGTCGGCAGGTATGGCTGGCTCAGTCTCCCCTGACTGAGGCCTGTCGTAGGACCCTCCGTGACGTGCCTGTCGAGCCGGGTCAGTTGTTTGGGACGGCGGCCCAGGAAGCATTGGACCGGACTGTCCATGCTGGTCAGACTAGACAGCAACTTTCTAGCCTTAGCAGGGTGGTGCGCCCTCCCCGGCAGTTTTTGCGCCCGATGTTGGCCCCCGGTGTTTGGCAGCCTCCTCGGGATTGGTCTGGTGCTCAGCGTTGTCCCCAGGTCAGGCCTGCCGGGAATTTTCGTGCCCCACCCGTGCATAGGCGCCCGACCCGCCAGCCAAGTGGCGCCGCGGCTGGTCCTGGGCGAGGTCCCCCCAGAGCCCCTAGGGGGCGGGGGGCGCGGAATTGACGCCTCAGGGCCGGGCGTCGGACATTTTTCCCATCAGCAGCTCGAGTGTTGGGCTGCTCGAGCTCGGGATCCGTGGGTGGTTGCCACATTGACCCACGGATACCGTCTGCAATTCCGACGCTGGCCGCACTTGTCGGGCCGGGTCAAGGTTACTTTGATCTCGGACCCGGCAAAAGCCTTTATCTTGGATCAGGAGCTCTCCGCCCTCCTGACCAAAGGTGCCATCGAGGCGGTAGCTCCGCTGCTGCAACCCAGGGGTTATTACTCCCGTTATTTTATCGTGCCCAAGAAGACGGGGGGTTTTCGACCAATTTTGGATCTGAGGGGCTTGAATCATTTCCTGAAGGTTATTCCGTTTCGCATGCTGACGACTGCGGAAGTCCTTCAGACTGTTGGGGCCGGGGAATGGTTCACGTCTGTAGGGTAATAATATTACAGTAAGCTATAAATTTAGTAGTGAAGAATAGTGCGGCTAGTCTACAAGTCAGAGTCTACAAGTCAGATGCTAGCCGTCCTATTCGAGTGGGGGATCTGCTTTAATATTTTAGGGCACCAGCAGTTACTTCTGCGCAGATCCAAACCAACTTTGCCTCGAGTCAGTCTTATAATCAAAAGGTAGTGAATTCGTAAATCGGCCAGGGATATACCTAAATCTAACAACACGACTCTGATGGGATTGAGCTAAAGAAAAGGGGTTTTATTGATTACAAAAATGAAGGTAAAAATATAACGAAGGGGATTTCTGGTCACATTAAAGCAGAAGTGGTATACATTTCATTCAAATCACACATTTAACAAGAACAGTCTTACTTTGTAGGAGCGTAGAGGATGGAGAAAGGATTTGGGTTGGGGAATCAGCCCACGTGGTTTCTTTGTCTGGGCAGGCGGGAGGTACGAAGCCAGCGAGTTGGTCCAGCTGCTGATCCACGCGTATACAGCCCAGTCCGGAATGGGTTGCGCGCGTAGAGTCCAGAGCCAAGAAAAAGAGGCTGGTGATGGAACAGTTCATAAGGTCCCGAGCCAGGGGAGACCGTGTTTTGCGGAGTAGGAGGCCCGATGCGTGCTAGCGCGCCCGTAGTTGGAGACACGTGCCGCGGGACGCAGATGGCCAGGGAGAGCTGGAATAGTGATTTCAGGAGTGGACAAGAGGAGGATGGAGGTGGAGATGGGAGGATGAGAATGCAGAATAGGATGGAGGGATGTCCTCGTGGGTGTACAGGCCCGAGATGGTGGCGGGCGTAGGCCGTGTAGGGGACACGTACCAAACAGGATGGTTGTTATGATGAATTCGGGAGAAACAAGAGGCAGTCTCTAGGTTTGCGGACTGGTTTTGTTGTGGTCAAAGTGGGCGCGCCCGTGACGTCATATTTGGGCGTCTTCCTTGGGCAGCCTCCCCACAACAGATGGGTTATAATGGGAACACACAGGATTAATACAGATGATCATAACACATGTACAAACACACACCACATTTCATTATTTGCCACTGATACACACATGTAGGACGCGGTACAGACTTATCGGAATAACACTGAGTCCGGGCTGGTCTACAGAATGTCCGGGCCGGGTGTGATGGCGTTCAGTGTCCACTGGGGGGCGCCAGAGTGCCGTGGGAGAGTCTCAGGTTGTGGAATGTCCCATGAGCGATTGCTGATGAATGATTCCTGATCTCCGTCTGGCAGAAGGGCACACAGATGTCCTGCTCTGTTGTTTTATTGCCCCTCTGGGTCTTGTTGCGGCGTTCCTGGTGAATGTTAGCCTTTAATTGAACCCGCAGTTACTTTGAAGTCTCAGGAGCTAGGGAGGGCATGTTTACGGAAAGGGTCTGCTATTCACGCCCGATTGGCGCTCACCTTTTCCTCACCCTACACGTCCATAGATTTGAGGGACGCGTATTTTCACGTGCCCATTGCGCAGCCCCACCGGCGGTTCCTCCGGTTCGCCTATCGGGGCGTTCACTGGCAGTTCAGGGTTCTTCCCTTTGGCCTCTCTCTCTCTCCGAGGGTTTTCACTCGATGCGTGAAGGCGGCTCTTGCTTCGCTGCAGGCCAGTGGCATGAAGGTGTTGCCTTATCTGGACGATTGGCTGATCTGCTCCCCGTCCAGGGCACGGTCCTTGGAAGATACGGAGCGCCTTCTGACTCATGTCGCCCGCTTGGGTTTCAGGGTCAATTTCGAAAAGGGCAGCCTGGTGCCTTCGCAGGCCGCTGTTTTTCTTGGCCTGAGTCTAAACACACTGACTATGACGGCGCGTCCGTTGGTGCGCCGCCTGGTCGACATCTACGGTGTGGTGTCCCGTTTCGGTCTTGGCACCCTGCACAGTTACGTCAGCTTTCTACAGCTGGTGGGGAAGCTGGCCTCGATCTCTCGTGTGGTTCCACTCGGGCTGCTTTCGCTTCGCCCGTTGCAGATGTGGCTGAACGGGTTTCGTTTGGATGCCGTTCGTCACCGCCACAGACGGTTACAGGTGACGTGGGCATGTTTTCGTGCTTTGGCTCCATGGAGGGACCGGGATCTCCTGTCACGTGGGGTCCCCTTGGGGGTGGTAGTGTGCCGCAGGGAAGTGGTCACCACCGACGCCAGCCGTACGGGATGGGGTGCTGTGTGGCAGCACAGGTTGGCCCGAGGGGTTTGGTCTCGGGCGGAGCGCTCAGACCACATAAATGTACTGGAGCTTCGGGCCGTCCACCTTGCTCCCCGGGAGTTTTTGCCTCACCTGCTGGGGAAACATGTCCTCATTCGTTCGGACAACACCTCGGTCGTGTATCACGTCAACCATCAAGGGGGTGTCCGATCGGCTCGGCTCCTCGAGGTGTCTCAGGCTCTGCTGGTTTGGGCTGCGCCTCGCCTGGCTACACTGCGTGCAGCGTATCTGCCAGGGGACTGCAATCGAGTGGCGGACTCCCTGTCTCGCGGGAGGCCTGCCCCGGGGGAATGGTGTCTCCACCCCAGTGTGGTCCAGAGGGTGTGGGGCCTTTTTGGTCGGGCACAGGTGGACCTATTCGCTTCGGTGGCCTCCACTCATTGCCCTCAGTTTTTTTCCCTGGACGGGGCTCCGGGCTCTCTCGGCCAGGATGCCCTGGCGCACAGTTGGCCTCAGGCCCTCCTGTACGCCTTCCCCCCTTTTCCTCTGATCTGGCCAACCCTCCAGAGGGCCCTTCGGGCGGGGCACAGTTTATTACTGGTGGCTCCGTTTTGGCCTGCACGGCCCTGGTTTCCACTGCTACTCAGACTTTGTTGGGCTCCCCCCTGGCCTCTCCCTCCCAGGCGGGATCTGCTCTCACAGCTGGACGGTCAGGTGTGGCATCCCTGTCCTCACCGCCTCAAGTTATGGGTATGGCCGTTGGCTGGCCCGAGCTGCGGGCACTCGATGTCACTGGCCCTGTCAGGCGTACACTCCTGAATGCCAGGGCGGCCTCTACTCGGCGGCTGTATGAGAACAGGTGGAAGTTGTTCCCCCGCTGGTGTTCTTCCCGCGGTCGGGATCCCGTGTCGTGCCCGGTGGCGGTTGTCCTGGAATTCCTTCAGTCTCTCCTGGATGAAGGTCGGGCCCCATCTACTCTGAAGGTATATGTTGCTGCTATTTCATGTTATCATGGCCAGGTTGATAACTGTACTGTGGGGGGCCATAACCTGGTGTCTCTCTTTTTACGCGGAGCTCGTAGGCTGCACCCTCGCGTGCCCGCGCGGTCTCCGGTTTGGGACCTGGCCTTGGTGTTGGAGTCTCTCTGCCGCCCTCCGTATGAGCCATTGGCCCGAACGGACCTCAAGTGGCTCTCCTATAAGACTGCTTTCCTGTTGGCTGTGGTCTCTGCAAAAAGGGTCGGTGAGTTGCATGCACTTTCTGTCAGTCCCTCATGCCTACACTGGGATCCCGAGAACCGGCCTTTGAGGTTGGCGCGGTTTGTGTCCCCCCTGGATGGGGGTGAGGACAGACTGCACCTGCTGTGTCCTGTGAGGGCATTGGAGGCCTACGTTGCTGCGACGGCGGGTGTGAGGCGCTCAGACCAGCTGTTTGTTATGGTGGTGCTAGACTGGGAAGTCCGCTTTCGAAGCAACGCCTTTCCCACTGGGTGGTTGACGTTATCAGTCAGGCGTATGTTTCGGCCGGCCGCGACCCGCCAGCCACGGTGAGGGCCCATTCTACCAGGGGTGTCTCTACCTCCTGGGCCGCTATGCGCGGGGTGCCGTTGGGAACTATTTGTGCTGCTGCGTCTTGGGCTACACCAAGCACGTTCACCAGATTCTACAACATCAATGTGGCCACTCCGGCTCCTCTTGGCGAGGTCCTTCAGGAATCCTCTGGCTCTCCTCCGTGAGGTGTGTGGTCAAGATCCTTCGTGACATAGCTGGTATAAGGTCATTCAGTGCTATGCACCGTCCTCTGGCGGTCTCAAGGGATGAAATAGAACGAGTGTTACGTATGTAACCACGGTTCTATGAATCCCGGATGACCGCCAGAGGCGCTCTGTCACTCAGGGTCCTTGCATCCGCGAGAAGATTCTGCAGGAACAGAGTGCTGGATGACGCTAGACTTTATTACCTCCGGTGTGTCATCCAGGGGGTCACAGGTGTGACTCATTTGGTATTATTACTCGAACTGCGCATGCGCGAAGGGAATATTCAGTGCTATGCACCGCCCTCTGGCGGTCATCCGGGATTCATAGAACCGTGGTTACATACGTAATCCTCGTTTTCCAGGGCCAGCCATGCGCAGAGAGGACCACAGAGAGGACCACAGAGAGGACCACAGAGAGGACCACAGAGAGGACCACAGAGAGGACCACAGGGAGGACCACAGAGAGGACCACAGAGAGGACCACAGAGAAGAAGGTTCCTGTATAAGTTCCACCCAGCTCCTTTTTACGAGGAACTCCTGTGGTGGAAACGAGGCTATAATAATGTATTATTATAGATCCATGACGGTAACACTTTGCAGAGATTATAGCACCATCTGGTGGATATGTTTTATCACTTATGAACGAGTGAGACTGATGTAGATAGTTGTTGAGAGAATTAAGGGAGAACAGAGGGGAGGAGAGAGAGAAGAGAGAGAAGAGAGAGAGGAGAGGAGAGAGAGAGAAGGAGACAGGAGAGAGAGAGGAGAGGGGAGAGAGAGGAGAGAGAGAGGAGAGGGGAGGAGAGAGAGGAGACAGGAGAGAGAGAGGAGACAGGGGAGAGAGAGGAGACAGGAGAGAGAGAGGAGACAGGAGAGAGAGGAGACAGGAGAGAGAGAGGGAGACAGGAGAGAGAGAGGAGAGGGGAGAGAGAGAGGAGAGGGGAGAGAGAGAGAGAGGGGAGAGAGAGAGGAGAGGGGAGAGAGAGGAGACAGGAGAGAGAGAGACAGGAGAGAGAGAGGAGAGGGGAGAGAGAGGAGAAGAGAGAAAGGAGAGAGAACAACCTTGATTATAAAGAGGAGAGAGAGAGAGATTGAACATGTGTCACTTCATCAAACTTATAAAATATGTGCATGTGTGTGTCTATGTGTGTATGCGTGTTTATGTGTGTCTATGTGTGTATGCGTGTCTTTGTGTGTGTCTATATGTCGGTGTGCGTGTGTCTACATGTGCGTGTGTCTATGTGTGTGTGTCTATTTGCGTGTCTGTGTGTCTATGTGGGTCTATGTGCTCGTCTATGTGCGCGTGTCTCTATGTGCGTGTGTGTTTGTCTATGTGTGTGTATGTGTGTGTGTGTGCGTCTCTGTGTGTGTCAACTGTCTTCATATTTACTGTAGACAAGACCCAAAGGCTGCAAGACTCGTCAAGACTGAAAAACTAAAGGTCAAGAAACGTCAACACAACTCAGTGAACGAACAGCACCTGCTTTGTGTGACGGAAAATACACACAACATGGAAAAAAAACAACGGGACAGGAAAGAGCTGAAACAGTTACTTTAATTCACGGTTGTATGGCCCCCTGGTGGACATCTGAGGCATTACATCTTTTAATCTGATCATTAAAACAGCCACGCCATTTTATATGCCCATAAACATTGGACCTTGAACCCAACAAGCCACTATTCAAAGTAAACTTTACTTAACCCAGTCCACACTTGCTTTTCGTCCGGTTTTGTTTCAGTCTCAGCAGCTGGACTCCTTTTGTTCATAGAAATATGTCCTGATTTGGTTTAAAAAAAACCTTGATTATAAAAAGTGTCTGATTCCAGGACTCCCTTAAAAATAGGTTGTGTGTCTCGATGGGACGTTCCTGGTTAAATAAAGGTTAAGCAAAATAAATAAATAATAAAACAATTAAAATGAACAAGAAAACTCTCCACAAACGCTGTATTTTATTGGTTTTCCTGTTTGTGTCAGTCTCGAGCCCAAACCTTTCTCTTCTGTTTGAATGAACTAAAGCGGTTTATTGTATTTATCCAGGAGCTGCGTGAGCAAAGTCGAATGGTCCGTGTGCAATTAGAAAGGTTTGAGTCTAATGAAGCCAATAATTCCCTTTGGCTGGCGTGTCCACAATTTGATACAGAAATCAGACAAAAAGATTCTCCAAGTTTAACATCTGCATTTAATTATCTTTACAATCAGATACAGAATATTCAAACAAATGAGAGCTCCTAAACTATGCTATGCTGTCCCTCTCTTCTTACCCTGCGCTAACCTCCCCCCAGAACTCAAACCAACAGTTTTATCAAGACGTCTGATGACGTCACTTGTGGGCGTCTCCCGAATGTTCATTTCGGGTGTGCTGACGTCCCTTGTCCACTGGGAGGCGTTAGAATGCTGTTGGTAAATTCCCTTTCCGCCTGATGGTGAGGGACTTTTGCTCTGTCAGCAGATAATGTTTATTATCGAACGTTAATAATTCGCCTTGTTCAAAGGCGATATCTTTTTATAATTCCCGTCTGCTTATCCTGTGTCCTTGTGACTTAATCCCTGAGGGCACAGGTCTTTTTGCTTGGGAAAGAGACAAGAGTTCAATTCCGGGTCAATCAAATTCACATCTGCCTTTAGTCTATATTTAAAATATACAACAGTTCCCCTCTGTTGACCTATATTTAAACCAATTTAGGTCACAATCTTTCAATATCCCTTCTGGGTGCCGGGACTGGGAAGCTCGTCCATCATCGCCTTGGTTCTTGGTTCTGGCTCGTTATCTGTGAAGAGTTAATACAGAAAGACAAACAACACACAACCACATTGAAACATTCCTTCACTAAACTCTTTGATGACCACTGCTGTCATTCTGATTCTTCTTCAACCTCGTCTGTAATGTATGCACTAAAACTATTCACTATAGTTTAAACTATTCTAATCTATTTACAAATATGTTTGCTTATTTTGCTTTTATTGAGCCCTATTCTTAAACATATGTTTTTATCTAATAAATCTATCTATACTGGTGGTTTGCTTTCATTATCAGTGGCTCTGTGCCATTTTGTGGGGCTTTGCTCATTTTTCCAAATACATTTTGTTGAACCAGGAAGTGCTGTCACTTCCTTCTCTCAGACCGTTTGGGATAAATGTACATCGTTAATCAAATTGGTATTATCCGTACAGGAGCTAATCTATTTTAGCAGGTTTCTCTGGGGTTAGTCCCTATACAACGGTATTTTGATTCTCTAATCTGTTGCTGACAAATCGACAGCTCTTAAAATTCTCAAAACTACCTAAAGATCTACTTTTGTGCTATACCCAAATTCACCAAAATGCTTTTAAATGTTTTTGAATCTCTGTTGGTTCTAATCTATCTCATTAATCTAAGCTACATTAATCTAGG